ACTTAGATTCTTTACTGATAGAAATGGATGCAGACGATGCTGGTGCCCTGGCCGTCCCAGAAAACCTGATGGTAAGTAGCACTGTTTATATTTTGCTAAAAGAGTTTTATATTCAAATTTGAAATCGAGGCTATCCTATACCGGTATCATAAATTTAGGTTCCATCACCAACTTAGGTTCTGAACCTAATATGCCTATGTTAAATCAATGTGTTTTCCCGGTATGACACACATTACTTCAACATGTAATAAACGGATAGACAAAATAAAAAGGAAAAGAAAACTCAGATTACTTGGCCTTGTACTTTATTTGGCAGAACAACTAATTGATACGGCAATCGATGGCTGTTGGGTTTGAATCCCGATGAGATAACACCCTTTTTCAATCCATCATAACATAGCTTTATACCTGTCTCTTATACACATCTAGATGTGTATAAGAGACAGTATATATATAATCCAATTTATATATAGGCCATATTACTATAGTTAATTAGTTATAAGATAAAACGGGAAAAATAAGTAATACTTTACATTTTTGTGGTCAAATAAATAAATGAAATGAAATGAAAGGAATTAAATATTATATAAGAGACAATATAACTTCAATATAACTATATACAATCCGTGATACAAATAGGCCTAAATGTATACTGGCCTTGAAAGACCAATCCTTAATATAATGCGATACGGATCAACGGGATACACCAATTGAATATCGACGGTAATTAATATTTCCTACCAGAAACATTTCCTTCTAACTTTCAAATTAGTTTCGTTTTAAGCGAACCTTAGCAATGATGCATTCCATCGGCTTGGTATTAAGCGGTCTCTTTGCGTTGACAACTTTATTTGTTTACGCTAACGGTAAGATTTATTCGTTAATTATCACAGTTAATTATGTGTACAAATAATCAGAATCAATTATCACCTTTAAATATAAATTGGAATGTTGAAAAACGAAATGTCCCTTGAATGTTGAAAACATAGGAACTTGAAATTTACTAGAAAGAAATGGGTGTAGACGATCAGGAAACTAATTAGCAGTTTTCTCAGCCGTTATAAAACTTTGCATTACATACTAACAGTGGCGTATCTAGAGGTCTTGAAATGGGGGTGCTGATGTGGGTGGGGGTGAAGGTGATGTGTGGGAGCTCGTGATCAGTTAAGGGGTGCTAACTCGCAAAATAAGGTGATTTTATGTGATTTTTAACTACTTGAGAGTGATTTTGGTGGGGCGACTCGGGGGGAGGGTCGAGTAAATTTTAGACGGGCGTGCTCACCCCCCCCCCCAACCCAGATACGCCACTGCATATTGTAGGATGTAAACACAGGACGATTGAATATCAGGCTTAATTATCCTTCAGGTTTCAATATTGTCTATCGCCATAATTAGGTGCATATTATATATAATACCGGTACATAGTTTGAAACATAACTTTTTAATATAGAAATTACCGTATAGGCCTATTATTTCCTACATTCATCATAAAAATGAAATACCACTATTTGAAAGGACATGTATTCAATATTTTCTCAGACTACAGAAACTTATAGAAAGGTTTTTTTTTTTTTTTTCCTTTGGATGTACATTTATTATAGCCACGCCAAACTGTCCCCCTTGTGAATGTACGAATCCACTTAGATTCTTTACTGATAGAAATGGATGCAGACGATGCTGGTGTTTCAGGATCCCACAGGGCCCTGGCCGTCCCAGAAAACCTGATGGTAAGTAGCACTGTTTATATTTTGCTAAAAGAGTTTTATATTCAAATTTGAAATCGAGGCTATCCTATACCGGTATCATAAATTTAGGTTCCATCACCAACTTAGGTTCTGAACCTAATATGCCTATTTTAAATCAATGTGTTTTCCCGGTATGACACACATTACTTGAACATGTAATAAACGGATAGACAAAATAAAAAAGAAAAGAAAACTCAGATTACTTGGCCTTGTACTTTATTTGGCAGAACAACTAATTGATACGGTAATCGATGGCTGTTGGGTTTGAATCCCGATGAGATAACACCCTTTTTCAATCCATCAAAACATAGCTTTATACCCTAATGCATGAAATACCTATTTTGTTCTTTTATTTGATTTATCTATGTATTAGCAAAGAACTTTGAATGAGCTGTTCTGCGTATATATATTTGCATTAAAATTAATGGAACATCCGTCCTCGCGCGAATGGGGTAGAATTTGAATATTTTACTAAGTGGAGAAACTACAGGAAACAAACGAACCAGAGCTGCCCCTTTATTATTACTATATAGCGCCGCCGCACAGTGGGCCAGAATCAATTCAAAGTGTGCCAAAAGTCGAAAATAGGTAATGTGACAACTTCAACTTTTAAAGGTTGTTTGATGTCGAGAACATCCTAAATTATATTAATCCACCAATAATTTCATATTTAATGAATTTTCATAGTGTGATATAACCATGTAAACATGAAAAAGTTGTATTTTACTCGTAAAATGATAAAATTGACAGTTTTGAAAAACTCCCTATGACTTTACTTAGATGAAAGCAGTCAACCTGATACTTCTTGCAGTATTTACCTATTGTTAACTAAATTAGATAGTAAAATAAAAAATGACATTATTGGTATATTTTTAGAATAAAGGACACTAAATATGATGTGTATAAGAGACAGCCCCATATACCTTGCTTGTCATTAATTAATTAAATTTTGAGAGAGGTAATGATGATATTATTGTAGATCTAGTTGTCCATGCTTTAATTAAATATTGTTTATAAACATAAAGTGGCGTTTTAATTAAGGTACCGGTATACGATAAAATCATTCCTGCAGCCATTGGGTGCCAAATGTAAAAACAAGTACACTCGATTTCCAGTGTCATATCTAGGAGTGAATTGGGGAGGGAGATCATTGGTGGATCTGGAGGCGTCAGGGTCCTGACCACAACCCCTTGGACAAAAATATTAAATAAATAAATATTTAAAAAAATAATTCTAGACTTACTTTTCCAGGACCCGTAAGCTGATTATTGAATTTTGTGTTACAATTGGACAATTAAATGTCGGGAATGCTCACTCAAAATTTTGATGGGGGATGACCCCGTTTCAAAAAAAAAAAAGAAAAGAAAAAAAAATAATGCGTAAGCAATTAATCATATTTATACCTCTACACACACAATAGGCCTCTTTACTGTATTAAAAATCAGAAAATTTACCTGACCGTTTTCAATAGGGTAAACCTTGATTTTGTTTTTATTAAAGGTCATTAAAAGATACTTTAGAAGTCTGAAAAGCTCACTTCCCGCAATCTAGGAATCAAAATGTTCAAGGGGCTAACATGATTCCGCGCCTCTCCCCCGGTTCCTCTTTGGGGTTCATCGATTCATTAAAAAACGTCAAGAGAGGGAAACCAAAATTTCAGAAGTTGAGAAAACCCGTTTTTCGACATATAGGAATCAACATTTTCCCACCACCGTCCTACTTGGGGTTCATCGGTTCATGGAAAACAAAATAGGCCTACGTATGCAACTACTCTTTTTTTTTTATACACACATAGGCCTGTTTACTGTAATAAGAATGACAAAGTTGACATGACTGTTTTCAAGGGAGGGAAAATCTTGAACTTTAAAAAAACTTAAATGTCATTAAAATACACCTCAAAAGTCGGGAAATCTCATTTCTCGCCATTTAGGAAACAACATTTTTCCGGGGAGGACCTCGACCCCCTTTCATTTTGAGGTCAATTATTCTAGGAATAAATTTTTTCCGGCACTTTCTCTTTTGTTATTTATTTTTTTTTAAACATTTTGACTCCATCCTAAATCTGAAGCCAAATTGCCTCTGGAGATGATAAGGGCATCCCAAGGTGAGTGATGGGATGGGGGTAAATGCCCGATGAAGTGGGACCGTTCATTTAATTTCTTTTTTTCATTTATTTATTTAGCATCCATTCAAATACAACAATTATTGCTCACGCAAATTATAGCGATATTAGGTAAATTCAGTCTGTTTGACCGTGATCTTTTGTGCTTATTTTCACTGGTGAGGGGTGTACACATCTAGATGTGTATAAGAGACAGTCTTAACACTCCACCTCCCACCCTTTTCTTTGAAGAAATGTATTTTAATAATGTCACATAAAGTGTAAAATGTTCTAATTTGAATTTGCCGGTCTAGAAACCCTCATTCGTGTCATACTGAGCTCTGGGAAGTTATTCTGTCTAGATCTTAAATTTTACGTCGTCCAATAAAAAAAAAAAACTTTAATGACGTCATACATATTTAAATATGCTTGCGTTGAAATCTACAGGTTAGAAAACCCTTATATGTTCTAATAACCAAGGTAATATGAATCTGCCTAGGTATTACAATGAATATTTTACTCAACCTATCAAAAAACAGTAATTTGATGACGTCATACATATTTAAAAATAGTTTAATTGAATTCAGCAGGTTTGAAAACCCCTTAAACAGTCTTAACATGAACATAATCAGTATTTTGTTATGAGTATTGACTTTTGGCACACTTTGAAACAATTCTGGCCCACTGTGCGCCGCGCGGACGGAGTAAAATTGCTCTCCGTGTACCGACAATGCCCTTGGAACGGATGTTGCACTATATTGGGACGCTGCTTTATCTTCTGCTATGTATCTTTGGTATTAGACCTATGCATTGAGAATAATGTGTCCTAATCGGAAAATCCAAGAAAGTACCCCCAGCCTGGTCCCATTAGTCTGTAGAGCAAGCGAACTGACCAGTGCGGCAATAGTATTCATAGGCTAGACCTAAAAAGCGGCTTTGGTTTTTTTTCTATTATTTTTGTACATGGACATTTACGATAGGTCTATGTCATAAAACAGGAGAAACGACTGGTATACCTTTAGCGATTCGATCTACCTCATGTACAGAATGCTTGACCCGCAATGTACCATATAAATTGGTAAAGTTGGTAGTCAGATGGATTCGATGACAACCTACAAATAGAAATTTTGTTCTTATAATATATTATTACTAATATATAGGCTATATACTAATCAATTTGATATACGTTTTAACTTATCTTCTATGAAGGCGATTGCCCATACTGTCCTTGTAAAATTGATCTTGCCGGACCAGTCGATGCTAACGGTTGTCCAGCCTGCTCATGCCTAGCGACTGAACCGCCTGCGCCACCGAGCCCACCGGGTCCCCCGAGTCCACCAAGTCCACCAGGTAGGTGCATATTATCGTAGATTTTAATTTAATTCACTCCAAACAACCCAATAATGATTTACCCGACGAAGGGTCCGATGTCCTCGACGAGAGCAAAGTAGACGTAAAAGTGGGTGTAAAATCTTTTAAAATTGGTCCCGATTTTAGAGTCAGCTAGTATGTAGAAAAAAAAATACAATATTTTTTATCCCCGACGAAATGTGGGTTTTCTCCAACGCCTGAAATCTGGGGTGTGGGGGGGGGGGGGGGCGGGGGGCAAGTCGGGGCAAGGTAAAATTTTAGGGGGGAAATATGCTGAGGTGGCCCGAGGTGAGCGTGGTCGGGCGTCGTTCAAAATGTCTCGAAACTGGTCCAGGGGGAGAACAGTTTAGGGGTTTCAGGGGCTTATTTAATCGATTTTATATGTAGATACACTAGCTACTAATATGTAGAAATTAGACAACATTTTCTTTTCTCCCCAATGGTTTTTCTTCTTTTTTTGTGGGGGGGGGGGAGAAAGAAAATTTTCTGGGGGAAAATTCTCCTATTGCCCTCCCCGTAGCGCCGCACTTCCCCATGTCCCCCTCCCCCTCCCGGGGGAGGGGGAAAAGTAACAAATTGCGTAGGCCACCGAGAGAGTTGCGAGATATGCGTATTCCTGGCCTCTCAGTTATAGGCCTACCGGTAGTTGTTAAAGTGTGATTAGCACTCAACTTTTACGGTGTCATTTTAGGTCCCTGGCAACATTGCCAACTTGCTCAAAACGTTAGTAGCCCTACTGTATTACTTAAGACATGTATAATAGACAGTGGCGGATCCAGGAAATAGAAGGGTCCGGGGAGCGACTTTCGCAGATGGAGGGTCTAGAAACGCCAGCCCACCACGGTTGGGACTGAGGTAAAACAATTTATGATTATGGCACCTCTGATGACCGGAAATGGCACAGTCAGATTAAATTTTAGTATAATTTTCTTTTTTTCTTCGTTTTTTTTTTTAATAATCTTTGAAAATGACTGCCCCCACCCCACCCACTAAACACCATTGAATCTGCCACTGAGTTAGATCTCCTTTGAAGACCTATAAAATGTTGGAAAGCTTTCCACATTTTAATTAACAAACATAATATTTCGAAATTAAAATAAGTTTGGTTTATATTTTTAATTTGGCCTATCCTTTTCTGCAATTCCATATAAGTATAAAATAAGTATAAGTGATTCCATATAAAGATATCGCGTATTTTGAACGAAATTCACTTACAATATTGAGGGCCCATATCAACTTAGAATGTTACATTATATTTCGATAGCTTTGGGACACGAGCAATGTTTAATAATATAATATTAATAATAACTAAATATTTTCCATTATATTACTGCAGAATTCACTAATGTGGCTGTCAATATTGCTATTGTACAAATTTGGTTGGAACAAAGTTATGAAAAATTCTTCTTTCAAAAAAAACCCCCCAAAAAACAAAGAAAAAAACAAAACAAACAAAAAAAAAATAAAACTAAAAAACACCTAAATACGTCGTAATAGGTATAATGATGATCGGCTCAATAGGCCTGCTGATGTATCTGTAGTCGTCATCGATTTGTGCTTTTTGATTGGGAAGCCTTCATATTAACACAATTTTTGTGATTCGTATTACCACCTTTTTTGATGAGGTGGCCCTATGTATTATGTTTTCCCTTTGACCATTAGGCAGAGTAAATCATAATAAAAAACAAAATCGTACTTTATATCGTCATTTAAACAGTAATCTGTCCGGACTGTGAATGTGCGAAGCCGATTGCGCCTCCATCAATCGATAAAAATGGATGTCTTCGTTGCAGTTGTCCTGAAGACGGAATAAAGCCTCCACTTCCACCACCAACAAGTGAGTTATATCATGGTATCTCAAGGCCGTTTCAACAAACGATAATTTTAGAGAAGTGAAACGTGTCTTTAAAATACCTTTCTAAAGAGAAGTAATGTTTATTTCTTACATTGTTTCAAATAGACATTAAAACGAGTAATACAGTCGACATGCTCACGTTAACAATGGATCCGCGCAAGGCGTGCACTGACCCCAGAGCCTCAAGCTGTTCTTGTTCTTGTTACCAAAATTTTAAAAGCGTGCAGGAGGTTTTGTCCACATAGGTGATTTCCAACAAACGTTCATCGCCCTTTTTTAAGTTTTGACCCAAGGGTTTCCCCTACACCTACAAAACAAAACAGGGGTTTCAGCAAGGACTGTACATTACTGCCATTACCACTAATAGGGCTCGTCGCATGGATGGTGCTGTTGGTTAAGGATGTGTTCTAAAGAACTTAAGGTTGTGAGTTTGAATCGCTTCTTGGTACAGTATTTTTTTTTTCCAAGTTGAAGAAATTCCAAACAAATAACATTTTTTGTACTAGGCCTAATAAACATTATAATTATTTGAAAATTTCTATCTTATTGGCCCTTCCAAAAAACCCAATATAATAACTTGCGCCTGTACCGTATTTAAGCGTGTAGGAACGCGAGGATCGGTGAGTGGTCGCTCTTGTTAAATAAAAGTAATGCTAAAGTAATGACTTCGGATTAATGAATGTGTCATTTGTAAGAAGTCAGAATCACCTTTGAACCCAGGACCCTCTAAATACAATTTAGAACGTTGAAATTGTAGTGTGATAGATACCAACGACTGTTATAATTTATACTGTAGTATTTTTATTAATCCTTATCTAACTTTAATAAGTTTCTATTTTTTAGCTCAACAGTAGCATGGAGGCACCAAAGGTTATAGGATATGAATTTACAAATACTATGATTCACTCTCATTAAAAGGAATAAATGCATTGACACTGACGTCATTTCCAACAAAGATAGAGTTGAAAACAAAGACACCGCAATCTATCACCATGACTATCGTGGTTTACCTAAAAAAAAAGCAAATAATATAATACTGTAATCGAAACACCTTCTTGAAGATGTTTGACATACAATGATACATTAACCACATGTTTATAAGGGCAGCTTTATAACCGCTGGGTTAGGCCTATCTTGTATATATAATGTTCGTTTCCCAGCACTGATATCATAACTGTTGCGACATTGCTGGTGAACAACGAACTCTCTCCGGTAAAATGAATGAGCGTTTCCCTTCTGTGTTGTTATTGATAGTTTTTTCAATTTGCTTGTTTTTCAAATCGTCTGTAGGAGGTAAAGTTTATTTATCTATTTATCATTTTTACATAACTATTTATCTACAGATTTATCTATTATACATCCATCCATCCTCATCATAATCATCCTCATCATCAATCATTAATCATCATCATCATCAATCATCATCCTCATCATCATCCTCATCATCAATCATTAATCATCATCATCAATCATCATCATCATCATCATCAACAACGCTGAAAGTGTGCGACAACTGCACTTCACTTCTCCAGTCGATCATTAGCCAAGAAAGTGCAAAGATGTATTATTCTTGACGTATATAAAAAGAGTACATCTACGAACTGGACTCCTCTAGTAACACATTTTTTGTGCTTACAGATTCCTTTTGCCCTTTCAACCAAATCGAAGTGGAGTGTGCCTTGGACTGCCAGCCTAATTGTAATGACTACGTTCGTAAAATAGACACAATGAGTCTGCCGTGTAATAAGATGTGCAGACGCTGTGTGTGCGAGGATGGTCTGTATTTTGAGAGTGACGGTCATTGTATTGCACCAGAGTTTTGTGGTTGTTACGAAGATCGCCTTGACCAATATTTCAAGGTATAGTCCTTTTACTACAACGGACCCTTTCCGCCTACGTCCCACAAAAAGCAGTAGGCCTACGTAAACACATCGTCACGAGCGTTTGAGGGACAAGTGCACATTACTGGCCCTGTTATAATTGGTCAGCAGTTGATTGACAATCTGCAAAAGTCCATTCTGTTAACGTCTACCACATCCAATATATATGTGTCTATGAACTTAATCTTAATATATTATGATGATAATATAGGCCTACCGAGTGTCTTTACCAATACCGGTAGTGTGGAATTAGCAAATACTGTATATATATGAATGATAATGTTATACCAAGAGTGCCTATTGACTGATGTCTTAATAATATATTAGTGTCTATGAATTTAGCTTAATATACCGGTATGATGATATATAAAAGTGTCTAAGAACATAATCTTAATGTATTGTGATATATAAATGTATTAAGAGTGTCTGCATACTCAGTCTTAACTATGTTATAATTTTATAAGTGGGAATATGGGGCAATGCAATTTGGATTAGGAAATACAGGTCTTTTCTCGTTTTTACAGTATTTGCACCCACATTAATTTGAAGGGCGACCAAACCTACAGGACAAACAAATTGTCCTGTAGAGTTCCACTTCGACTATTTTATTCATTTATGTTCTATGTCATTGATTATGATCATACATAATACACATAGCAGTATAAGTGAATGAATATAGGCCTAGGCCTATTACAATAAGAAATTTAATTATTGTAGTACATGAAAATGACAGAATTATAGATTCTACCGCTACAAAAATATAGGCCTACTAAAAAATAATCAAACAAGTTATCATCTGTCAATAAGTAACAGATAACAACAGTTTTAATTACTTTTTAGGTTTTATTAGGAAAATATTCAAATTTACTTGCAAAAACGTCTGTATGCGAACACTACAACACTAAAAGAATGGTTATTATTTAAACCATGATAAAATAAGTCGGAAGTCTAAACTTATTCCCCCGTGTTTATATATCCTTTTGGCAAGGTAAATTTTGTATACGTTCCATTATAAAACCCAGTCGTTACGAATTTAATGCTTTGCTCTTTGTCAGGTTGGTGACCGATTCCTGATAGATGATCAAATCTGCGAGTGTGACAGTCTCAATAATATCCTGTGTGAAGAGGATTCGGAAGGCTCTGGATCTGGCATTGAAGTGTAAACCAATAAAATTCGTCATGCACCTATAAAGAGGATATTTTGAACAACGGTCGAATAGGCCTATATTGCATTTACGACGGCTACTTTTGCGCATAGGCCTACATTAATTTTAATCAATTAGTTCAATCAAACAATCAATTAATTAGTTCAATCAATCAGTCAATCAATCAATCAATCAATCAATCAATCAGTTAGTCATTTGAACAGTCAGTCAGAATCAATAAATACCTCAATTTATTTGGAAAACGCTTTTGTAACCACCCCAAACATCACTTTGATGTCGCCTTTATTCTAACAGTAAATTTTGGTAGCTTTTTTTAGGTTGTTCAATTTAAAATGAATTTCTTGAACGTCAAAAGAATATACCTTTGCTAAACGCAGTCAGACGGCATAGAAAGACCAAAGGTGTGGTTTTCTACGAACGAAATTGAGAGGTTATGAATACATAATTATCAGATGCTAGAAAGCTGCTAGGTTAAAGGTTATCGAGTCAATTAACTAAAGCCACACATCCTTCATGGTTTGATATATCCGTATCAATTTTTACCGAATGTTTTTCTATGCAAATGTGCGCATGCGTTTATGTTTAGGTCAATAACCTATGCTTTTTAGACTAATATTTTTGACTCAGAATTTTTTAAAGTTACCTTTCTACAAATAAACGTTTGAGTTGCTAACCTTGGCTTTAGTGTTGGTTTTACTCACTCAATACAATGAATGCATAAGTGCTACCAAACTATTTTCTCTCACCAAGAAAGTTATTTTGCGGGTGGTGCTGTAAAAACACATTATTATTATTATTATTATCATTATTGCTAATTTTATAATTACTGTATCATTATTACTATTACTTATTTAATGTCCTATCATCATAATTATTAGTATTTATATACACAATATAAATTTAAATAAATGTGTATCTATATATAAATACATATACAGTATAATAGTATATAAATTGAAATGTAACAGAAGAATCTGACAAAGAAGACTGCCTCCATCGCGACTCACACCTGGGACCTTTTGCATACATGGCGAATGTAATAACCACTTAAACACGAAAGTGTTGTGGTGATCCAAGTGCCAATAGAATTTTGAGTTCCTTTCAGGCCCGTAGCCAGGTTCTTCCAAGGGTGGTTCTCTGGGCGCTAGATTGGCGAAAACCCCAAAAGCGAGAGGATGTTTTGTGTTCTATGGGTATAAATAATGCTATAAAAGCAGTTATGCTTTGCAAAAGGTCCGCAGCAAAACATTCCGTTCGAATCTGGGTGGGTCTGCAAGTGCATTAGTTAGGTCCGTTGGGGTTTTTTCGCTAGAAGAGAGGGTTTGCCCGAACCATAAATATAACCCTTCTACATGCCTACTTCTCATTCTTTTAATGTGTCAAAATTTTGATATATCACTAATATAGCTGTCTCTTATACACATCTGATGTGCTCTTATACACATCTCCAAATAAAACAAAAACAAAAACGAAAACGAAAAAAAAATCATATTACACATTTTGAAATATATTTTAATTATATTTAAACAAAAAAAATACAAAAATATATATATATATTTCTTCTCAGTCTTCATTCACAGGTTGACAGGTTGATTACATGAAATGCTGATATATAAGTAAGAGTTACTAATAGTTACAACTGAGCACACATATAATTTTAAATTAAGAGGTCTCATTTTTTCAAGGGGTGTTTTAGGGATAAGTTAATAAGTTAATCTTTACAATTAAATATTTTCCTAATAGACCACACACAATCAAAAGAATAAGATGTACTTACTAAAACTACGAACTTAATGTGATGTGATGTAATGTATACAGTACTTTATACTGTAAGTCTCAAAGCGGTGGACACTAGCTCGTAAAAGTAACTTCTTTCTCCCCTAAAGGTCACTTCATGTATGAGCTTCCTGGTAAACCGATACCAGGTGACTCTAGACAGACGATAAGTACATACTCATATTTTTTGTTGGAAATCAAAATCCTTCACTTCAAACTTATATTTGATTCATTTCAGGTATTGTTGTCTATATTATTATAGTCTTGCAGTTGGTTTAATTTGAGCTCTGACTTATTGTCAACAAAAAAAAACAGGAAAGCAAGATGGGAGTACTAATTAGTAGAAGTCTCACACTTGGTAGTTCAACATGGAGTGCAAGTTTACCTAATACTGTACTCTACCAACCAGCCTCTCCCCTTAAAAAAATCATGTCTTTGATGTTTTATATCTATTCTTGTTGCTGGTCAAGAAATTCTGCAAGCGTTGCATTTTCAATTGGAACAGAAAGAAATTCAATGCCATCTATGCCCTAAAGAAGACAAAACAACAACAAAATATTATATATTTTTAGTAAAATTTTGCAAACAGAAAAACAAACATAACAATTTAACCAAAAGGTGCACTATAAAAAATAAAATAAAACAAAAGTGACTATTTGGAGTCACTTATTTTTTATAACAGTTTAATATACTGTAATTGGAAATGCATTATAACATTTGACAAAAAACTGTTGTATGCCCATATATAGTCATGATGTAATGCCATCATGACCATATTAAGGCATGTCACATAAAATGTGATAGTCTAGACAGGGTCTTATATTAAAATGTTGAAATTCAATGCATTCAAAAATTTCCTTCCGGCCTTGCAATTTGGTCAAGCAAGCATTAAATCTAACCTTTATATAATAATTTTCCTATAGTTTACTATGCGCAGCTCTGCTAATTATTGCTTATCTATTTACAAGGCCACTGGTGTAAATAGAAATATTTTTGTCATTGTATTGATATGAAACAGGCTCTTAAACAGATAGAGTAAAATCTGTTTCTACTTCCTTTTTCTCTAGCTTTATTGTCTACCTCTTTCATAAAACAATACATTTCATTCATTAATTAAACATGCATTACAAAACATAAAAACATAAAATATTTCATTTAATTATTAATGTACTAAACACTGAACTGTTCAACTAACCTTTTTAGATTTTAATAGTTTGTGATCTCTAAACTCTGTAAGCTGTGCCCTTAGAGTTAGATCACTATTAACTAAGAATGCCTCTCGACATTTCTGATACAAATCTTGAAATGATAATCCTGCAAAAAGAATAGAAATTATAAGCAACATTGTAACAACCTGGTTCCGTTAAAGAGAGCAGGAAAATGCAAATTTGATAAATTGAAGTTTATAAATGATTTGATCTTTTCAAATGATCAATTCAAAGTTTTATTTAATTTTTAAATTCTATTCTTACCATTATATAATGAGTTGTCCTTGTTTTCAAGTTGATAGTTGACAATAATTTCAAAAATTCCCCTAAAAACCAGATTTAATAAAATATTTAACAATAAATAGATAAACAGTTTCTTAATTTTAGTTTGATGGTTCAAATGCTCACTCTTCAATCCTGGGTCCAAATCTCAAAAACATGTTAGAAATTTTTACAAAACCAAATGCAATTTTGCACTCCTCTAGCTTCAGAAACACACACTGTGACCACTGACTTCTACTATAATAGCTGGATTGCTCATCGGGCCAATCCTTGTACAAAAAAAAGTGAGATCACCGACGAAATGTTGGAGGGCCTAAGTGACATACTAGTTTAGACAAGTTTCTTTTGGCATTTGTTTATATCATTGTTACACGATTCTTGAAATACTTTTCAATAATAAATTTTAATTTAACGTACAAATTTTTTTTCAAATCATCTAACCACTCAACGCGACTGTTTATACAGTTAACAAAAGTGGGAGCGAAGTCGCATTGTTATAGTGACATTGATCACGTACAACCAATGCCGTAGCCAGGATTTTCAAACAGTGCGGGACAATATCAGGGTGGACCTATAAATTAAAAACCATTAACCATTAACCAATTTACACTTAAATTCAAATAATTTGAACCCATTTTCTTAAAAGTTAACCAATTTTACACAAAAATATGAAAAATTTGGATTAATTTTCTTAAAATTTTACCATTTCAGGCTAAATATAAGAAATCTGGAACCATTTTTCAAAAAGTGGACTCATTTTATGCATAAAATTGCATAATTTGGACCCATTTTAAAAATATGGACCCATTCTTTGTGGACCCATTAGAAAAAGTGTGTGGGACCGTCCCAACTGTGCCAATAGACTACGACATTGCTAACAATGCAAATAGCTTTTCTTGCACTGTTTTAAACTGCATAAACAGTCATGTCAAGTGGTTAGTGGTTTGAAAATTATCATTACGTTAAATTTAAATTTATCTATAAAAAGTATTGCAATAATCATTATTTTTAACAATAATTTAAACAAATGCCAAAATAAACTTGTCTAAACTTACACGTCACTTTGGCCCTCCAACATGGCGTCGGTGGCCTCATGCCACTGTGCAATCCAGGTATTATAGTACATATACTTAGAGCCTCAGGCAACACATACATGGAGATGTGAGACATTTATCCCTCTTGTCTGTTACACTTAAAAGCAGCCACATATGATGAACAATGTCCTAGGAAAGTGAAAGCACTCCTCGCAGAGTTTAGGTTTTCCTTTATTTCTTTATTTCTTTGTAGCTAATTTTTAATCATCAATTTAGCTACTTTTACAGTAAACTCTATGCCAAAAACATCTGATCAAGTCTCCCTGCATTACAAACACACTATATTATAATATTTTATATACAGTATATAGTGGGTAAAAAAAGGGAGTACAAATATCTATTTTTATAGTATAACACTATACTATCTTAGGTTCCTTACCTTGCATTTGGTGTTAGACTTCTAAGAACATTTGTAAGAGAGCTGAGTGCGAGGGCGCCAGAGTGCTGGACTAACAGCGAGTTCTCATAAGAGGTTTCCTCTGTGTATGGCTCAAAGTTTGTGACATCATACCACAGCCAATTGAACCGACTCGCTTTAGCCTGATCCCAAACTAAGAAAGAAAGAAGGATGTTAATTATGGAATATTTGACACACAAGGAAGTGCACTCAAGATCCCGGGGATATCCATCGGCATTTTTGTTGAAGAGATTAAAAACCTCATATATCTCAGCAGGTCCCTTAATGAGCTGAACATGTAAAAAACACCTCATAATACGCATCTAAAACATCAAAACCACCCACAGTACCTGAATAGGCCATACATAGCCTCAATCCCCAGGGTAGTAGGTCAGGCCTCTATATCATGGCACACTGCAGGTTTAAGTTGAAAAAGCAAAGCTGGAAATGATTAATAAAGATGAGAGATGAAGAAATGTTTTAGGCAACCAAATAAAAGAGCAGTTTTCAACTTACTGAGTGGTGCATTGATGTGATCAATTGATGCCACAAAGTGGACCTGCGGGATCTGTGCCAGCATACTGAGCATGCTCTGTACCTTGCTGCCACGCAACATCTGGCCATCTATGTTGTTAATTAGCAAGAAAACATCCTCTGGAAAATGAAACATTTGATTATTCTTAGTTATTTTCATACAAAATTAATATTAGATTCTCAAAATTTGAAACCATAAATCTTTGACTTTCAAACTGGCTGATGAAGGATTTGAATAAGTCTAGCAATCCTAAAGTGCCAAATCTTATGCATATCCATGATAGCTTTTTTTCGGTACATATATACACAAAAGAAACATCTTTGTCTCGCCTAGTCACCTCTCCTCATTACGATTACTTTATTGACTACACCCAACACATAGAGAGAAGTGTTGTACACTTACCACCACTGTGTTCGAGTGTCTCCTCAATAAAGTTAATTTGGTCCACTGGACTCTTGAAACTATTTGTCTTACTTAGAAGGTCTTCTGTAATGGAGTTCAAAATCTAAAGCAAAATAAAGATGAGTAACATTTAGAGATGCTCTCTGTGTTTAGCTGAAGAAAATGAACAATTATAATCTATACTTCAATAGCTTACTTTATCAAGTTATTAGCTTTAAATTTAAAATTAGAACAAGCAAATATTTTCAGTTTCCAATTTACAGATGCATAAATAACATTGTTTCTATATTTTGTGCATATACCTTTAAATTGTAATTATATCATCAACAACTTAATTGTTTTGTTCTGTGTCTAATTTAAAGTTCACAACTTGTTTGAATCTTTTAAATAAACAGTTTAGGTTTTCTTTTAATGAAAAATCTGTACTTTGCTAAAAAAAAAAAATACATATGGGGATTGTTTATTTTGAAGATAAAAATCACTTTCAGTTAATGAATGAATGACAAAAAATTTCCTCATTAATTTTACAGATAAAGAAAAGAAATTTGTAGAAAATTTAGTCTTTACAAATTACTTGATTCAAAGACAATGATGAGAAATTATGATGCAACAAACAACATCTGAGGGAGATAAATAAAACAAACTTCAAAACCCCAGGGGCGGATTTAGGAGGGGGGGCAGCCTTGCCCCGGCCCCTCCTTTTGGACATCTCTAGATCCGCCCCTGTAACCCCACCTCTCTTTACTACCAAATTTTAAAAGAATGTCTGTCGTACATTTTTTAGAGTGATACTTGGAAAAAATCCATTGATGACGAGATGGGATATGTCTTGTAACATCATGTTCCTGAATTGATCCATCAGGACACGCTTGGTGACTGTTTTAATAATTGGTTAATTGGTTTCTAGTACTAACCTCGTCTGCCAGCTCGTGTTTTTGACCTTGCTCGAGTTGCAGGAGTGTGCTGTACTTGCTTACTACTTTTTTTAGACGAGGCAGCTTTCCGTGTTAGTGGTGTGGTTTTATTTGTGATTGGTGTGCAAGTCTCAGCAGCTAGTTTAGCCATCTGACCTGCTCTCTTCGGTGTTTTGAACTCATACACAGAACCACTGACAACTCCCCTTTTACTGTCTTCTTCATATCCCTCTAACAGCACTGAATACATAGAGGAACACATTGATTACACACACAATAATCAGCAATTACTACTCTTTCTTTCTTGTATACGAATGCAATGCATATAGATGTATATGAATCATTCTTCCTCAAATTGTATTTTATGTTTACTTTTCAGCATTTTATCTATCGAAAAATTGTTAGATTATCACTTCCGTCTGCATCAATAATTTGGAAAATGATGTGGGAATAAAAAGCATAAAGAAAACAATGCAATTTTGCAACGGGAAATACATTTTCTTTAATAAAACAATTTACTTGTTTTACTTGATTATCCAGGATGACTGAAACTGTAATCCTGGGTATAGAAGCCAAGCATACAATGCTTATTGGCCCCTCGATGAACAATGTGTACTACTTTGTATACGACACAAATTTTACCAGGTGTCAGCCCTAAGCCACTCAATTGCAGATTTAAACATATTTAAGGATGTAGCATTAACATCCTCCTCAGAAAATGAATTGCAATTCTTAATAATTCACCTTGAGAATGTCCCTTTCCTCAGATTAGTTCTAGAGTAATAAAATGAAACCAGTTTTTATACAATATTTACAATATTCTTGGCAAATAAAAACAGTCCCTCTCTCATCACTCTCATCACCCTCATCACTTTTTTTTTTAAAAAGAGTGATAATTTAATATTTAAATGCAAAATCAATTAATCAATCAACTTTACCTGATGGTGTATTTTGATGTTTGAAACATTCTTCATCTGATTCACTGTCTGCAGAGCTTGATGATGATGATGATGATGAAGATAATGGCTTCTTGACTCGGTCTTTGTTGTTTTGTCGGGGCGTTGAGTTTTGCTGTCTACTATCCCCATTGATTTTATATGATACATTCTTCCTAGTACTTCGCTGGGGACGACCTGTTTGAACCTGTGATCGAAGCCTTACTGTTGTATTTTCTACAGGTAGAAAAGTACAAGATAACCAAAATTGTAGATACATACTTTGATACGTTATTAACAAAGCATTTGTGGCACATTTGATTGATAACTTACTTAAAATGTTCTGCTGATTATATGAATTGATATCATACTTCACATGAAACTGCTTCCTGAATGTTAAATACATTTCAGAATCAATAACAATATTTTACCCAGCAAATATATTTGGCTTAAAAGATTGACATAACTAGCAAGGGAGACAGGCCTAGGTTTAACTTATAAGCCATGGATGGTGGGATGAATGAGTACAGTGTAGGCTACTACTAGATAGTACTTGGCTAGGCCTTGTCTTAGGTATATACAAAATTTAAAAATATCAGGCCAAGACTTGCACTAAAATACTGGCTTAGTCTCTATACAGCATTGTAGTAGTAGGGCTACACTAGGCCGAGCTAGCCTACTACTAGAGTCATGCAAGCCTGGTAAGGCTAGGTTTGGCAAGGGCCCACCATAGCCAGACTAGGCTGGTAGCCTAGCTGGAATAGAATGTTGCTGCCTGGTGGGTACGCCTAGCCTAGGCCCTACCCTAGATTACCACCATTATATAGCCTATCTAGCTAGGCCTAGCCCTATTTAGAATGTTGCTGGCTGGTCGTTATGATATATAATACTCTTTATTGTAAAACTTACTGCTTGCTGCATCCACCATATCATTATTATGCTGTACTTCTTCGGAATCTAAAGGAAACGTTAAACGACTGAGAGAAACCGTAGCCCGAGGTGTTCTTAACCTCGTTTCAATGGGGGCTGCCATGTTTGTGTGGAGTAAATATCCAAACAAACATTGTATTATTAGCGCCGCATGTGGCGCTATATACCCTCATTTCTCGCTCTCTCAGCTCAGATAATGTGAATAAAGTTTACAAACTGTTTGCATGCAAACATGTCTAAAAAGGTAGATATTCGACAACTTATGCGGAGACAGAAGGTTCAAAGCAGCTTGTCGGCAACAAAGAAGATCGATTCACCATTAGCAAGATATCCTTTCGGTTCATCACACTGATAAAAACCTGCTAGCTTAGGCATGCCCTAGTTTAGGCTAGGCCGCTAGTTAGTAGTATTATCTGTAGCTGGCTAGCGGGAGGAGGGCATTGGGTACCGCCACCACATTTCTATGGATGATCTGCTAGCCTAGGTCTAGGATTTTATATGGCCAAGACAAAAAACACAATGCCAAGGCTTAGTCCTCATATAGGAAGGCCTAGGTAACATATTCTTCTTCGTTGCATTCTCTCGCCAGTGGAGGCAAATTTAATTTTTTTTTTTTTAAATAGGCCCTAGCCTAGACCTAACCTATTTATTTATTTTTATTATTATTATTAAAGCTCCACTGCGGGCATCCCTCCAATGATTCCAATCACTATGTTAAAATGGGAGTTGCGAGAAATGAGCCAGGTAAAACAGGGCAGTCTTCTCAAGTATTATTAAACTTCTGTAGTTTCTATGGAAATTTTGCATAAATACAGATGTAAAAAATAGACAAACATACTACGGAAGTTTATCTTGGACCTAAACCCATAATAAATAGGTCCAGAGTCCAGAACAAATGACTTTTTCAATCCATCAAGATTTTTGTTTGGTTACATTGATTACTGAAAAATTATTGCGAAAGTGGCCTGTAAATCTTCATCCTGTCTCGTTTTTCTTTGAAATTTCACAGCTGTTATTATTATCCTGTACCTGTAATTTAAGCAACCCAAAGTTTGCACTCAAGACAAGGTGCTACAGAAATTGTGTACTTACTATGGATATTTGAAGACTTAGTTACAGTATACTGTACTAACTTGAGAAGGCTGGGCTACTTTTAAGACTCTAGGAGATACTGACGGACGAGAGTGTGCAGACGCTCGTAGGTAACATTTTTAATTACAATCTACCCATCATGTGTTCATGGGCCTAAAAGGTCAAAATTAAAGCATAGGCTAGTGTAATTAGTAAGTAAGTAGTAGTGTAATTTGGTAAAAGATTAAAATCACAAACCTGTAGAACAAATAGATATCTCAATTCATTCGTACCACTATCCATTAGAATTCTTAATCAAAATATCAAAAGTTATTATAATCAATTAATTATAATTACAGTATATTGTTGTGTTGTTTTGCATTAATCCTGCACTTTGTTTTGCGATGTGATGTGCCAACTGATTTAGCGAAAGGACACAAGTGAAGAATCTTGAACTTAAATCATTAAATATTATTACATTATTAATATTATACTAACAATGAAACACTTTTTCTTGGCAGTGATTATACTGTACACCAGTCATAAAGCAATTAGAGTACTGCTGTATATCAGTTTGTTGAGGTAGTAGGCTATACCAGGCTTAAATTTTATCTCCCTAAACACACCTCTTGATTCCTTAAATTGGCTTTACGTATAACAGCCTGGGACAGTTATCATGTAAACTATGTAATATACCAATCAAGAGTGAAATCCTCTGGAAGAGTCACCTGCAGAGTAGGAAACACAAAGAGGTAAGCAGCCTGCGCAGCGTATACTAGAGGGCGTGCACAAACATTTAACGATAGAAACCTGTCTGTGCATTTAAAAAAATAAAGGCTGGTTTCCACCTAAGTTTTGCATAAATTTATACTTGAATGGTATACCACAAAAATGTTGCTTACATTTTTGTATTTTGAGCTATTTTCCATGTATATGTGTAAATGTATAAGATTGGCTGATATTTACAGCCATCTTGTTAAATGAAATAATGTAGAGGTATTTTACTCATGGGAAAACGTAATTATAATATGTATAAGCAATTCTTCTCTATTTTACCAAACACATCCTTCCCTTCTGATTATAGTGCACTTACTTTTTCACAGAGTGTTGAGTTATTAAAATCAGGGAAACCATTAACAACTCCATCAACAGCATCCAAACATGCAACAAAACAGAAAGACTCAGAAGAACCAGTTATAAAAAAGGTCAAAGGTTTGTCCATTTCTCTGCAATTTCCATGGAAACCAGGTTACCTATGATTAGAGGTTTAATTGTTTTTAGTCAACCAACCATTATTTATTGTCTGTGGTTAAATTGCTCATGTGCACTTTAAAGAACCCTGTACATCTTTCAAGATAAGTATGGGGGTCACCCCGGTGTACTGGTCCATACAGCCTCTGTTATCTTGTGATGGAATTGCCACATTGAAGAGTGATTTAGTTGACTGTTTGGCATATCCTTGGCCCTAGTGCCAAAGTCTGAATTAAAAACTCTTGCACTGCAAAATATTTGCTCCTACATTATATTTTAACAGACAGTATATCACCAACTCTTCATTTTTTTTTTTTTTTTCTGTCAGTTTCAGAAACAAGTACAACAGAAAAAGGGTAAGATGCTGGAGTGTTTTTCCACCTTGAGTTTTGTACCTGCCAGTTAATTCAACATTGGTAGGACCTTTATCTATGTTGGTTTCTCTCTATAAATGTGTACCTGGTTACTGTCCACTTCTACTTGCCTGGTAGAAAGGATTACAGTAATTGATAATATTGTCCGGTACTGCATTACCTGCACTGCTATGGATACTCCCCCAGAGAAATGTCCATTTGCGTGGTTGTTTATTTATTCAATGTTTACATTTGTGAAGGTACATACTACAAAAGACCCTCAGGATCTAACCAAGGTTACTAGTAATTAAACAATGATTTATGTAATAGCATTGTATAAGAACTATACCTATTAATGAATATATGTATATTTGTGTGTATGGGCTCATTCTGTAGTGTTTGGTTTCATTAACTTATTAATGTATATTTTTGTAGTCTACCTGCAGATTTCTTTGATACACAAATCAGTTCATCAGAAGTAAGACAGCCAGTCTCAACAGTCTCAACAACACAATCAACAAATCCTAGCTTACCAGCTGGTAAGGAGGGCTAAAGGTCCTTAAAACTAAAATTCATAACATTCAATGGTAACAAGATCCCAAAAACTAAGGAGATGCATAAAGCCAGGCACACACTACATCGATGACTGTTGGCCGTATGAATCCATCTCTGCTCTTTGTGCTTGACAATGAGATACAGTCTGCCATTAACAGTCTGATCAAAACATGATTAAAATGATCTGTTGTGTATGCCTCATCGAATTGGTTAAATAATTGACACTAATTTAAAAAGTGTCTGCTTCAAAATGTTGAATTTAAATTATTTGTTTTCCCTTGTAGATTTTTTTGATGTAGAAGTAAGTAGCCAAGCTGAGACAGTGGCAGAAAAAGATGTACAGCCAGATAGGTAATTAATGAAATTATCATTAATGAATATTACAGCATTCAATTACTAAAATAGAAATTGGTAGTACTCATAATTAGGTTAATGATGATAACAATGATTGTTATCAATATCTATTGTAGTAACCATTATAGATTATGATAACTATGTTAATGATGAAGAAGATGATGTTAACAATGGTTTTGATGATATTGATGTTGATAAGAAATCTGACATTACTTACCCACATTGGAACACTTTCAAGCACAATGGTATTTTTTGTATTTTAAGTTCATCTAAATCAATGGCAGAAGCACTGCCGGAGGGGTTCTTTGATGACCCGAACATGGATGCAAAAGTCCGCAAAGTAGAACCGAAGAAAAACATTGAAGATGAGTGGGTGGAGTTTCAAAAAGTTATGGAACAGGAACAAAAGGTGAGTACAGTATGTCATTTTCTGGGTATGTTTTTGTCAGACATTCCTTGTCAATTAGCAGCATACATTTGATATCATTCCTGTAATCTTGCCAGGTATCAGAAGCTATTCTGGAGGAAGATGTTGATGAAGCCCAAAAAGAGAGACAAATAGATGAGATCGATGAACAAATGTAAGAAACAATTGTACATTTTTCCACATTTACATTTGTTCAGATTTTAATCAAAACACCTGTATCACTTAAATCATCTACACTTAAAAAACTACAAATGCATTAAGTAAAAACATAAACAATACAAAAAGATTAAAGTTAAATGCATGTAAATAAGTGTGCATCAAATGATAGTAATATAAGAATATTGATCATATTTAAATTAATATGTGTATATTACAGATGATCAAAACAAAATACTGTATATATTGCCTTTGAACACTCAAATAAAAAAATTCAATTATGAATTATTCCACTGTCTTTACCTTATACATGATTTATATGTTCTGCGCCTGCTCAAAACAATTATAAGCTATTGTGTTTTTCCTTTTTTAAAGGACGAGATGGAAGAAAGCCGACATACTACGTGACAAACAAGAAGAATTGAGAGCCAAAGTGAGCCAACAAACTAGTTCAACAGTAGAAAATGAAGAAACGAATGATGATGACAACGACGATGAAGCAGATTTTGAAGAATTCTTAGACTGGCGGTCTAAAGAAGCATGGAAGTGAAGGAAAAAAACTAATATTTTATTGAGCGTGTTAAAAAATAAAATTCTGTGTCTCTAATTTTGAGTGAGACCTCATTCATGCAGCTATGACGGTTAGAAAAGTAAACATCCCGAGGTCTTAATTCAGTGATTGGCTGTGATGTCGTAAGCCCTGGGTAGTGCCCATGTAGACATTTTTTGTATTAAGTTACTCCAACGTTACTACAGACAATTTACTCCAGAGCAGCCTCAAGAAAAAATGCGCTACTTCCACGTACACAAGGAATGTATTAGGAGTATGTGCTCAGGCTAGCACCGTGTAGATGCAATTACTTCAGAGCTTGCAAGTAAATGCAACCTTTATTATGATGAACTAGATTTGAAGTAAAAAAAAACATACCCTAGGTAAGCTTCATGTGGACACTCGTTGGAAGTAACGCGCGCATACATTTTTACGTCTGTCATAACTTTACTTCAGACAGAAGGCCATCTGAACATTAATAATATTTTAGCAGTATCACCAGATTGAAATTTTAGGTGACACAACCTCAAATACAAGCCACAAGTGATTTTGAATGTTTGTCGACATAAGTATCACATACACTCAATGTAAAGATGGCAACATTCAAAATCTGTGTTGCATGTTTGTGTACCAAGAATAATATACTTGCTGTAGTAAATGAAGTAAATATGATTTATAAAAGATACTTATGTTTTTACGCAGACAGTGTCTGTCAGATTTCAAAGAAAGTGAATAATAATATCAAGACAATTTTTTAAATTTCAATGTCCTATTTATTGCATTAGTTATATAAACACATTACATAAATATTTCTTATAAACAAAAGTAAAAATTGAAATTATTAAAATGTTGTTCTATTACAGGGGTTTAGCTAGAAAAAAATATATGGAGCCCAAATATTTGGGTGCTAAGCAACAAATGTCCTCTAAAGATAAAAAGAAAAGGATACCTTGCCCCATATGAAAACCAAGAGGCCAAAGTTATCCTTATATCTATTTTATAGATCCCATTTGGCTTCTAAAAAAAATTATAAATTTATTTTGAAATTGTCTACAGCAACTACAGTAGTGAGTAAAAGCAGAAAGTACTATTAGTGTAATATGATTTAAACTTGTAGAGGATACAATTACAGGTAGCCGGGAGTTCTTCCAATAAATATTAATACAAAACCTGAGGATTTTTTTACCCAGAATCCAAGATTCTTAACAGGACACGGTCAAGGACATCCAAGACGCTAAAGTGGCCGTCATAAACCATTCTTGCTGCCCAAGCCCTTTTGCTATTATATTCCCTCAAATCATCTCGCCATCAAATATAAACCAATACATATATTTCATAACATGAATATGAGACTCAAGGGCCAGCAAATATTACTATTATTTTGATCGATTGCTGGCTTTTTTCAATTTTAACAAGTCTTATCCAGTCTATTGTTAGCCACCGAGAAATAAGGAGAAAATTTCTGAAAAGAGAGCTGAAAAAGCCAAAGAGTTTGGCAAGTGGGTAATGAGTAAAACAATGAGCTCAGGATGCTCATACCTAAATTTGTGAAGCTTGTAGTTAACTTGAAAGACTTGTAGTAAATTCATACTTTTTAGTTGAATCTTGCCAAGTAGACCATAAATTTCATGAGTTTTTTAATGGTGGCAGCTTGTACGATTGGATTGGATCTCAGCATGAATTGTTTCACCACAGATGTGGGAATCTGTACTGATCCATCAGCCCATTACATTCCTGGCCACTGACCACTACATCTTTTATACTGTATTACTACCTATATACTAAATCCTCACTAATATTAATATCTTCTAACATTCTTATATATATTTCAAATTGATTCAAAAATTGCATAAGTAAAAATCTACTATTACTGCTATTATAATATTCTATTATACTAAATAAGCCTTTTTACCCCAAGTTTTTTAATATTTAAAAATCTGTATCCCATTACCCTGTTTTGAGTCTTAGCAAAATCAGTTGTACAACATAGGAGATGTACAATGTAGGAGCGTGTGGCGCAGAGTGAAGGTGTTGGACTTCTGATTGTGAGATCGGGAGTTCAAGACTGACGCTCGTCGCATTGCTTGTGTCCTTGGGCAAGGCACTTTACTTATGTTTGCCTCTCTCCAGTTGTATTGTATGGCATTGAATGTATGGGTCGTGCACGTCCAAACAGCAATAACCAGGGATACTCCCCAAGGAGCAGAGTAAGTTGCACAATGTGCGGATCTGCCAATTCAGTATCAAGTGACCAAGGAAATATGGTGCCAGCGCCTTGTATCCCTGCAGACTGTGAAAGGTGCTATATAAATTCCGATTCTTAAAAAAAATATATATACAGTATATATATATATATATCAAAAACCTGAGTCTGTATTTGAGATGGAATATCTTATTCTAACAGTATTATACTGTATCAAAATTTTTACTTCACCATTTCCATACACAACACAGCACCACCATTATTTTATTGCATTAGTAATATGAATATATGCATTCCAATACCATGTTATCCACTTATTTTACAGAATCAATAATATATATATATAATCTAAAAGTACTGTATTGGAAAATTGTATGAATAACTAGAATATATACTGCTAACACAACCATAGAATTACAATTAAATACAATAGATTACAATTAATTACAATTAGATTTGAATTCATTCTGTAAGAATGATGTTGATTTGAGCTCAGTGTATATAAAATACTTTTATTATATATGTTATTCAACCTTTTTTTTAATATGAACCATACAGTCTTTAGGTATTATGCATTATATATAATAATTTATTCAACCTTTTTTTTCAAATATGAACCATACAGTCTTTAGGTATTATGCATTATATATAATACATTTATTATTATTACTATTATAACCAATACATCACAGATAAAATCTGCTTTACATAATTACCTGAATATTAACACAAAAAAAAATCAACCTCCAATTTCTGGGAAATGTTCAAAGTTGTGCATAAATATTCAATACAGTATGTACCAAATGCATTCATACAATTCTGGTATGAATTGTATGACATTTATAGTGCCAATATATTTAAAAGATAGAACTAATTTACAAACAAATATATAAAATGTTAAAAGTGTTAAAATGACATTAAGATGGACCACAAACAATAAAGACAACAAACAATTTAGACACAAAACGTTACTCATCACACAAAGATGAACATACAATAGTCGCTGTCAACAAACAAATGAAAAATTTGACTAAAATCAACCAGATAGTACAAAAATACAGAGAAAGGGATACTAAAAAACCTTCACATGTAATGAGAAAGTGCATTGCCCAAGAAAACATGGAATGAGCAACATGTAATGTGAACTCCAACCTCAAGGCTGAGAGCTCAAAACACAACTATTGTACCTCCCCACCATGATCCACAATGGATCCAGTGTTCACCCACTTACATCCCCCCACTAGATCAACTGTTCAGAAGAATGTGTTACCCCTTGTCACTTTTCCACAACCATATTTCACCCTGATAAAATCCTAATGGGATCACATGTGTTTCACTGTGTTGAAACCCTCACTGGATCTGATGTACTGAGTGTACCTTTACACTCCTCGCTTGCCTGATGTTGGAGATAAACACCAAACGACATCTTCATGTAAAAAAGAAAAAAAAATTGATAAAACTCAATTACAGTAACTTATATTAGACATTACTATATCATAACAAGCCTGAATGTGTAAAAGGAATTTATCATATTGCCATCATATCATCATCATCATTATTTTTAACAAAATAATTTCATAGGAACAAGAAAAATGTGTCTATGTACAGTAGAATTAGGAAATCAGGGTCGGTCAATAATTTAAAACGAATTATAGGCCTAGATAATATAATCACTCTTAGTATTTAAAGCTTCAACAGCGGCCCATTCTTACTAAAAATAAAAACGAATCCTATATTTTCAAGATATTGGTTTTTTTTTTCTTTCTCATTAGTAATAAGACTAGTAAAATAATAATAGCAGTATAAGATACACAGTAATGTACAAACAAGTATAGCTACACACTCTTTTTCCTCTGAGGGTGGAGATTATTTTCAGTGTTTCTTTGCCTCTTATTCCTGTCTCTTGATCAACAGGGACCAACAACCTACAAAACAAACAGGAAAACTACTAACAAAATAGAGTATTGATATAGCATCTGGTATTGTCCAACAGTTCGGAAACAAAGAATGGCGAGATGTAGGAAACATCATAGCCCAGTTATTTTTGCTGGACGAGATGGTGGACGATTCATTTAGACGAGATGGTGGCCCCATGTGCAAAATGATCCCCTAATTCGAAAACACGAAATAATGCAGTACAAAGAGCAGGTGGGACACTGCTGCAAATAAGTCTGTAGTGAGTGTTATTAAAGAGTACAGAATAGCAAGAGGTCTGCCTGCGTTGATTTTGCTTGCACGTAATGAAACAAAAAACAAAACACTACCATGAGATAGGGGGCGCCCTCTTAGAATTTGAATAGAGTTTGAAACTCAAACATCTATTCTATAGATGCAGCACGCATTTGATACAAACAACTTTTACGTTCTTTTGAAGAATGCCCTCTAGTTTGTGTTAGTACTTTTTGAGACAGGATTGCGTTTCAAAGAAACCCAGGCAGTCAGACCTCTTGTATGTCTCACACGAAGAAGTGAATTTGATTTTATCAAGGAACCTATTAGTTTTGAGTCTTAATTCAGTACCATATATATGCAATATTTGTTAGCTGTTCACCTTAAACTTCACGCCATGTATGTAAACTTCTTTCCATTCATCTTCCTCAAATGCGGCCTGACCAGAGATGACAAAATTGGCACGAAATCGAGCAGTCAAATTGTCAAGATCCATCCGAATAACGGTATCCTGTACATTAACATCTGTGATACACTGTCTTTAAAAAAAATTGAATAATACAGAAATATAACTTTAGTAGTTTAGTCTCTAAATCTCTAAATTTTTGTTCCGCCCATCACCATCATTCTTGACATTTTCATGATTGTTGTCATCGTCACCGTTTTTCCATCATTAATGATATTGTCATGCTCATCATTCCTGACATTTTCCTTTCAGTCATGTTCTTCTGTTGTCGTTCTTTCTGTCATCATCCTTGTTGCCATTATTTATGTTGCTGTTCTTGTCATTGATTTTATTGTCATCTTTCTTTTTGTCATTCATTTTAATTTCATTTCATTTTATTCAATTTCATTATTTAAAATCAACACATAGCAATTAGTGTGAGGTATATAAAAAAGTGTAAACACTATCTGGTTTTTCCATCATCATTATTACCATCATTATCACCACCATCATATATTACCTTTGTTGTATGTACTTGAGAAGATGATTTATGCTTGCTTTATTAACCAGTAAAAATTGTGACTCATTTACAAAAGACACTTCAGCAGTCTCACCTATAAGATGAAAGATTTTACAGTTATTACAAATACAAGTACTACAAATCTTACCATATATAACTATATCAGCTAACATATACTGTACACTATAGCCAAATCATAGGCATTATTCACATGAAGTTTGATATTTGATAGCAATTTTAGTTTTTGCTTAAGTCATTACACAAGGACCTCTGCACAATATAAGCCTTAGCAATAGAATAACATTTATAAAACAAATTTATTTAAACCAGAAAAGGGGAAAGAAAGGAATAGTGCATACCAATTCGGTTTGTATGGCGTTTGTATCTATGATTTTGTTTGATAAGTCTACATCGTTGGCCAAGTACATCCGAGAGCCAGTCCGACACCTCTTGTCCGCAATCAATGCCTTGCACCCTACAGCCAAAAAGAAAATATGCTTTGCATATTGACTTGGGTATTAAAACCTATAACCTGTGCATTTATATTACACTAGTTGTTTTGAAAAGAGTTTTTTGCCAATTAACAGACATGAAAACTTTACTGTTCCTACATTCTTTGTAGAATTTTACATTTGCTGGAAAAATTATGGATTTTCATAGCAAAAAGTCTGTAAAATCTATCTATGAATATTAGTTGAGCCTTTAAATTTGCAATTTAATTGAATGGTTTTGGTTTTAATTGAATGTTTGAGGTTTTAAAGATTTGAGCACTCTTTGGCCCACAAGCTTCTCCCATTTTGGTGTACCACTGTCATTTTCCAATTGTCACCTGATTTCTCTAACTGATTTTAAATGCCAGTTAAAATGACATCATGCAAGGCCCTGTCCAGATTATCAAAATTGATTTGACAAAAACATGACATGCCTAAATATGGTCATGATGACATCACATCATGACCATATATAGGCACATCATGACTATATAGGGGCATACAACAGTTTTTTGTCAAAGAACATTTGATAATCAGGACAGGCAAGAATAGAGGGTGCTATACAAAAATTATGATTACAGTATTGTGTTAATACCTATCCATGCAAACTCTACTCTCACAAACTCGTGGATCTTCTCGTGTGGAAGATTCCGATAATAGCGTCTCTTCAATCTCCAGTGGAACTGTACATGGAGTTTTCCCTATTTGAATAAAAAATATAAATAATGATATGTGACTTACACAACAAGTGGATGAAATAAAACTGACACATCAAATGAAATAGAACAACAACAATAGTAGTGTTCCTATGTTTTTTTTTCAAATGACTTGGTACTGTCACACATGCAGCTGTCAAGGCAAAATGCAGTACACGATCACTATAAATTACTACTATAATTACAAATATTATTAAATTATAATAAAGTGTCAATTATCAAGTATAACTTCCTTTTATAATTCTGTAAAAAAATAACAATGTTCTATTCAATCATTTAGCACAAATAATATGAAAATGAGAAGTCAATAACAAATTGTACTATATAGTTAATTATCAGCTTCAGATTTAGCGGGGCAGGGGGGCACCCCTACTATTGGAAAGTTAAAAAAAGGGAAAGAAGGAAATGAAAGAAGGAAATTAAATAAATTATTGATCGGCCAAAACCTCTTTTTTTGGGGGGGGGGGGAATTACGCCAGACCCGCTAGGGTAGTGTTGTCTGCTGATTGGCAAACTTTCACCCCACTCCCCCTTTTTCTGTCATCTCTGAATCCGCTCACTTGTTACTAACCTTTAGTATTCAAAATAAGAACATTCTTCCCGAGGTCAATATTTGGTTTTATAAGGCAAAGCTTTGTGTTCCTCTTCTGATTCAATGCAACATCATTCTCATTCACTACCATCCATTCCCTATCATATACAAAACCTTTTGCACCAAGTTTCCATTCCTTTACCTGAAATTTTAAAATAAAAAAATAAAATAGGTGTATAATTTTATATAAACAAAATATTCAAGTTTACATCTGCAGTACCCTTTTTACACTGCAAGCAAATCTCGGGACCAAACCCGAGATTTTCCAATACTTTGGCATTGAAAGGTTTGAGGTTGCTGTACCATGGCTGTAGAAGTAGTACAGCATTAGTAACAGCAGTAGAGCTGGTGGCAGCGACAGCAGCAGCAGTTGTAACAATAGCAGCTACAGCAGTGGTATTATTACCACCTCCTTGATTACAAATATATTTTAATCACATTAACTAACATACTAAGACATACCTCCACTGCACCACATGATTTAATAGGGTATATAAACATCTTGTGAAGATACTGGTTGATTCTGGTTTCTGGATCTGGGTGATGTATCTCGTGAATATACTGGTTTAATCCGGTTTCAATTGGTTCTTGGCACCCTGAATCTGGAAGACGTGTTTTCTTGTTTTGATGACCATTATGATTCAAAGATGGGTCAATTTCATCTTTTTTCTGATATGACTGTGGAGTATTATCATTCAAGAGTGGTTCTTCAACTTGAGTGTTTGAAATTTTGTTCAAACGTTGAGCTGCAGTATCCTGTGTGCCAGACACAAAGCATTCTCTGATGAACTGTAAAAATCTCTCTGCATCTTTCCACCTTGACATATAGCCAAAAGATATCCGGACAGATCCGGTTGGCTGACCATCGATTAAATCATTATCATCTCCACAGCTATGTCCCGCCTACAATAAAATGTTTGATAAATCTATAGTTGTCAAAATTCAAGGTGGCTGCATCAGAAACTGTACTTCCTTGTACAGTAAATCAAGGGTTTCATACAGATCTGAATGAAGCTTTGGTAGGGGAAGAACTAACAGGAGTGGAAACAGGAAGACATAAAGCCTGTCTTACAAGCCAAGTTTTCAGTCAGCCACGATAAGTTGGACCAAAACAATGTTTTAACATTTTATGATGTCAAAGTGCAGCTTAAAAATAGGTCAAAATTGTCCAGTTTTTTTGGGCGCCAGGGGCGCTTAGCCTAATGAGCCCCTAAAACAGCCTTTTCTGGCGGCCTTTCTAGCCTATTTCAGAAATTTCAGTAAACAAAACAAATATTATGTATCACCTGAAAATTGTTCTTCACTTTTTCAGATGTCAATCCCAAAAATTTCTGACAGGCCCCAGTGTTACAAAAACAACCAGTTCTAAGTTGAATGTTGTAAAGGTTGGCTAGCTTATCCACCTGCATTAAAAGACAATTTGTGATTAGTCGATTGTAATATAATCAGTAATGCAAGAGTCAATTCAAACATCTGTTTCTTACCTCTGCGTAACCAACATAGTCTCCATTTTCTCTCAGTAGATTAAAATTTACTATTGCCCCTTGAATTGTGATATCTTCAAAGCCATTATCATGATAAAGTATAGCTACTGGCTTGCCGTTGCTATGGTAGTATGATTCTAGTTCATGATGGATGTATCTGGCGAGTGTGAACGTATGCTGCGATATTTGATTGATTCCTCCTGGTGATGAAATAATTAAAATCAGCTCAATCGGCAAGCACAAATTCACAGTGTTCAAAATGCAGCAAAAAGAATAAATATTTAATAAAATTTATCACAAAACATCAAATATCCAAGAAATATATTGATTTATAATTGGGATAAAAAATTATCTTTTAGGAGATCGTCTTGTTGCTTAAAATGCTTAAGATAAAGGTGTATCATGATCTCTGAAATTTGTGATGCAATGATAAGTAGTGTGAAAGATCACTTGCATAAGCAAATTAAATTTCAAAAAGAAGGTCTCCATGAAGCCCCAATCTCCACAATTACAGATGAACCTTAAAGGTAAGGGTAATGTTGTTTTATGATGCATAATTCATCTTTTCTGCAACTGTCAATGTCATTACATCGCAGAGTTCTTTTTCCTTCTTATACACGATAAAATCCTCTTAATCCTGATTACTTTGAAGTCTAAATCTCCTGCGATATCATTTCCATGGCGATGGTGATATTTACGACTGTCGATCTTGGAGGTGATTTCAGGAGGATTAACAATGCATGTTCGTGGGTTGCTCAGTCTTTCCACATAATCCTACAGGTCTAAATTGTTTGACAACCAACAAAGCATCTGCCACGGATATTACAAGATTCAAACTATGATGAGATGCTGCTTATTTTAAATTTTACAAATGTGTGGATAAAATTCAACAGCGTAGTGTATGGGGAATTATGTTTTCAATCAGTCTACAATTTCTAGACTTGGACATCACCGTCAACATGTCATGACGATTGAATGGCTATAAAACATAGAACAACCTGGCTTAATTTTCATCAAATTGCCAGCTAGATCAGGCAGTACAATAAAGAACTGCATGTAGTGTTATTTTTCAGCAAATAAACAGATAATAAAAATTATTACTTGTATTTGAGTTGCTTATGTTCTATGTTTAAAAAGCGTTTATTTGAAATTAGCTAATTTTAAAACACTGGTAAAAAATATTTATAAAAGCATTGGAAGATGCGTTTTTTGCACACTGAACACCCACATAAGTGTACATTTATTATGGTTACTACAGTACCACACTCAACACAGTTATATTGTAATTACAACCTTTTCATTGAATGAAGTCTATTTATTCCAGGCAAGTGAGCTAAATTCCTTAAAATCAGGATTTTAAATACAGAGAACGCTCTTAAAGCTGCAAGTAACATTGATTTATCATTACTACAGATAACCAAGCAACATTGCGACTGCTGGTTCAAGATTACATTGGAGACATCCGTCTGCAAATGCGACTCTGCATTTCCTAACTGACTATTTATTGGATTTAACAATCAATTAGGCAAGAAAAAACTAGAGTCAATGTTACCATAGAAATACTGATGTGTTTTACAAGATTTAAAGAGGTCTTAATGGGGTGATAATACCGGCGGCACACTTTACAATATTGATATCAAGGGCCGGGTGTTTGGAGGCAATTAAAATACATCATTAATTATAGCATACTATACCTGCCAAACCCTGTAATGTATCAAAACCATGTCGAAGTGCAACAATGTTTAAAAACGGGAGTGTGCCATCCTCAAACCTACAAAAGAAATCCATTCAATCAATAAGAGAGCTTAATAATTTGTGTAAATCATAATGATACATTTATAAAGGTGATAATAATATCAATATTACTCATTAAAAGGTTTCAATTATCTACTAATAATTACCTATATATTTAGTGTTCACATATTTGATATGGAACATGGAAAGAGTAATATAAAAAAACTGTCTGATGGGAACATCTAGAAAATTCAATTTTTAATTTCATTGAATTTGTTTTTGTTATAATTCTGTCTCAACAACTAGTTCTATTCTTATTAATCCTGACTCAAAAATATAATAAAATAATAAAATAAAATAAACAATAAAATAATAATAATAGTATAATAAAATATAGTTTTCTGTTAATATACTGAAAAAACACAAGAACAGGAATTACACAGTTTTTACAGGAAGGTAAATTATGATGAGTGCTAGGTGACGTGAGGTCGTCTGCTGATTTTCGGTGGCAGTCTGAACAGATTTGTGTCATTAAAAACGATTTGTTGCACGCACATTGTGACGTTGCATCCTCCATAGAATTGTGTCGACAGGCACGGTGAGTGCCCAGCTTCAGGGGACCCCTAATATCGCCTCACCAGTAATGTTGAGCCGAATGGGTCACCCTCATTAAATATAGTTTAAAATTAAATTTAAAAAAAAAAAGATCTGCTCTTGATGCTTTATAACCAAGTATATATGAGGCCGTATGGAGAGTGGAGAGCTGATTGTAAGTGTTGATGGTTTGCAGTCCTTAGTGTTCTATACCTAAGTCTATATGAGACCTGAGGCTACACCTAAGTCTATATGAGACCTGAGGCTACACCTAAGTCTACATGAGACCTAAGTCTACATGAGACCTGAGGCTACACCTAAGTCTATATGAGACCTGAGGCTACACCTAAGTCTACATGAGACCTGAGGCTACACCTAAGTCTATATGAGACCTGAGGCTACACCTAAGTCTATATGAGACCTGAGGCTACACCTAAGTCTATATGAGACCTGAGGCTACACCTAAGTCTATATGAGACCTGAGGAGTAATGTGGTCTTTGGTTGTTACTACTGTACATACTTGCCATCCAATCTCCGACTAAAAACAACTTTATTTAGTAATGTGCTACCTTTATATATTTCATTCATTCATTTAAACTATGCTACTCACCATTCATGAATTTTAAGCTTTGGGATGTGGAAATTCTCACTACTTGAATATGCCTGAACTGTCCCTCCTCCAAAGAATGTTTTCTGAAGGAAGGAGACTGATTCATTCCTGATGATCAATCCACCAATACCAGTTGGGAATCCAAACATCTTGTAAAAAGACACTGGGACAAAGTCTGCGCAGTAAAAACCAAGGTCAAGCTTTGATGTCATAACATAGGATGCTGCATCTAAGAGTACACACCATCTTCCACAGCAACCGTGTAGAGTTGCTGTTTCGTAAGATTTTAAACGATTGGTCCAATTGAGTGGATACTTCCTACCAGAAAAATTACACTGAGCAGGATATGCAAACAAACAGTTTGGTAATTCCCCTTTGAGGGCACTTTCGGTCACTGCTTGTGAAGTTTCTAGTGAGGTTTGGACTTCCTGCTCGTTGATACAACCAAAGTCTGCACCGTGCTTGGAGGCGTACTCACGCATCCCAACAACGGATGTGTGAGAGTTTTTAAGGTAGAGGAAGACCGGATTTTGTCTAGCATCATGTTCGGTAGACCGGATTAATTCTTTGGTGGGTGTTGTGTTCCATTTGAATGTTTCGGCAACAAGTTTGATTGCTCCTGTGCAGTTGGCTGTAAAGATGACACTATGGGTTTCGGAAGATGTTCCAAAATGGCGCAAAATTCTGTATACATTTATGAAATAAATCATAGAATATAATAAAAATTCAATAACAAAAATTTTAAGAACTTTGGTCAATGTTAGGACTGTCAACCATGAGGTCGAGGTTCTAAGTTCCACTGTGTGAATTCTGTTTGTGCCCTGGATAAGTTACTATACTTACAATAGTCTACCCAGGAGTATATATAACTAATTACCATGTAGAATAGTGTGGCATTGAATTTTCTAGTTTCGTTCACTACACCCCAGGCAGCAGAGGTCGCATTTTGTACTGGTTTGCAAATCCAATGACTAGAGGTAATGATGCTCTCATGTTTTACGATCCTCGTAATTTAGTTTGGAATTGACGTCAACAAATTTGAGATATTATTATTATATTATTTCACACAATTGAAATACGTTCTTATTTACCTTTCCCGCACATGCTCAATGACCTCTGCTGTCAGCTGGCTGGACTGGCTTCTACTGTGTGGGTTTCCATAGACATGACTGCTGAGATCCTGCACATAGCTCTCAAGTTGGCTCTTCGCATACAAGGTTGCTGCAGCATGGTCCAAATATACAACATCTAAGTAAACAATATTTAGTATCATATACCAGTAATTAAAATATATACAGAAAATATCAGTAATTCCACACTAAATGATTTCATTTCTGGGGTTGTTTCTTTATATTGACAACATTCTGGTAATGACTCTATCAAAAAGATTATCTTCTTTTTGTAAACAACAACAATAATAATAATAATAATAATAATAATAATAATAATAATAATAATAATAAAGCACTGTATTATTATTATTATTATTTCATTAAACATTGTGCAGTTAGCATAGTGGTTCCAATTCAAAGCTCTGAGGGTTTGAATTCTATCAAGATGGCCACCAACTTGTGTCTTTAGTCAAATAAATGTATTTTATTTGCAAAGTATCTAGAAAATCATTTAAAATTTTTTTAAATTCCTTCTTTGGATCAAGGTGTATTCACATCAAATCTGAACCCAAATTCGGACTATGTTTCTGATGCGCAAAACAAAGCCTATTCTAACATACAGATTTGATATTTATCATATCGGTTAGGCAGGTTTTTCCTATCCAAAAATTTGGATTTGGTGTGATAAAGGACGTTGATAACATGATTCCTTTAAATGAGAATTTTTCAACATTTTTTTTTGGTTTCAATTATAATAGTTTTTTATAACATTTTTGGTGACATCGTTCATCAAGAGCTAAAGGAGAAAAAGTTTAAAAATTATGAAGTTATACTGCATCATTAGAGAATAGCAATAAGCTTATTTATTGATTCACCCATCTTCTGCAACATATACATCATCTGTGACCTTCAATAAAATAATATATCTTACTTTATTAGTATTATTTAGGTATTGCTGGTTTGACATTTCTATTAATAATCAAATGTACTATCTAAGTAGCATATTTACTGGTACAGTACTAAATTTGCATATCATGATCATCCTACGCATATATGCTTATAGTAGCCGGTAATTGATTGTGCATTTGTAAGTGAATACTTGTATTTATGCAAAGCTGTCAAACTGTCACATCGACTTTTGATAAAGCATGAGCAAGAATTTGGATGCACTTTGAGGCAAACAAAATTGACCAAATGCACTGTACAGTTAGATGCCAGTATGATGCTGGAGATAAAATAAAGATATATACAGAGTATAGATAATATATGAATAGTTACTATGTGAACTACTAGTATAGAACTAGGCCTAGCCTTGATTTATATTAACCAGGCTACTGTATATGAATTTGAGTCAACTCAGCCTCAAGTCAACTCAGCCCCAAGTCAACTCGGCCCCAAGTCAACCCGGCCCCATGTCAACTCGGCCCCATGTCAACTCGGCCCCAAGTCAACTCAACCCCATGTTAACTCAGTTTTGAATGCAAAGCCAAAATTGAAGTGGCTTAAATCATTGCCTTTTATTCATTCATGTGGCTAAATATCAAGGATGCTTCAGCTTGTTTTCATCCAGTTTTTGAATTCTGTTAGCCTACAATTATTTATGACATCATGTGGGTAAATATTATAATTTATATTTTCCGAAATTCAATCTAAATTATATTAACACAAATGTTGTTGCCAAACTGACCAATCGGCCATGTTTGTTTTGGTCACATGGATAACGCTTATTAAGCATGGGTGTATGCAAGGGGGGGTCGGGGAGGTCTTACGACAACCCCCCCCCCCCTCAAAAAAAAATTTTTCCAGACATTTTTTTCTAGGGCCTTTTCACAATGACATAAATGAAACAAAAAAAAAAAAAATTCCAGACATTTTTTTCTAGGGCCTTTTCACAATGACATAAATGAAAAAGCATTGATGAGGTACCAGCAATGAGTCCAAAGACCTTGCCAATTGCGTGACGTAATCTATCTCAATTCCAGCAATTCTGAAACTGAGCCTGTCATTCGCTTCAAGCTGGTGGGGCGGTCATCGATTTTCCTGTCTCCTACTGAAAAGGTAAAAAAAATTATAATCTGGACCTACCCAGAAAAAATCCTGGATACACGTCCCCTGTTAATGCATTCCGGTTTAATTTAATTTTCGTTTCGAAGTCTATTTTACGAACCAGTCAAATGAAAATAATACTCAACGAAAAATCGTAGTCAATGAAATGAACCAGTTGAATAAGTCCAAAGTTTCTGCAAACACCACAAATACTCATACTTTCCGTTTTTCACAGTGATGGTTATTATGGGGGTAAGGCAACACAGCAAAAGCCAATTTGAGGCGGCCTATAAGCAGTGGCGTCTCTAGGATATAATTTAAGGGGGGGGGGGGCACTAATGTATAAGAGACAGGTATTTATGGGTGTAATTATAGCATGCAGCGTTATTTGAGGGCCGAAGACCCGAGCCAGGGATGGGTATGGGACCCCTCCTCCCAAAACTAGATTTAAAAAAAAAATTAGGACTTTTAGATGGCCGAAAAATGCTGGGATGGGAAAACTTGGGCTACTTGGTCAGACTGCCCAATGAGCTTTGGCCGATGGGGGGGGGGCTTGACCAGACCAAGGGGGCTTAAGCCCCCCTGCCCCGATGGCGCCGCCACTGCCTATACTATAAGGCCTATCTATGTCGTGAGGAAGGGTGTGCTGTTTTGAAACAATGGAATTGGATTAATTTTTTTAGAAATGCAGCTAAACCTGCAGCTACACTAGAAATAGGCTTATCTAGTATCATCTTATCAATGCTAGGCTAGTCCGATGGTTCGCCAACACAAGTGTCCAGATTAGCAGTGGTAGCATTTGTTAGNNNNCCCCCCCCCCCCCCTGGTTAGACGGTAATTCGGTTAGACGCGGCCCGGCTTGTTGATCTGCTGCCAGAGGAGCCCCATCCACGCACGGTAGCCTAGGTAGGCCTACCTAGCTAGGCTAGCCTAAAAACCTCACAGACTGGCTATTATTTTGCTTACCTTGCAAAAGAGGGAATTCACTTTCTATCTTGTCATTCATCTGTTTAAAAAAAAATACCTATAACCAATAACGACCCTAATCTTTTAATGAATATAACTAAACAAATATCGAAATCCCGTGAGAGCGAACTTGGGCCTCCTGTTTGTTTGTTTTTATTTTCATTGGACAGCGCCCTCTTGCTATTCAGGATTTTCAAAACTTTTTCAAGGTTCAGGCATATCCATCCTTGGTTCCACTAAAAAAAGATTATCAATTAAATTAACTATATTTAAATAAATTACTTTATATATTTAAGCAGCTTATTAGATTTCCAATTAATTCTAAAAACAAAAGATATTATTGTGGTAGAAGAAAATATAATTTTTGTTCTAGTTTTAGTAATCAAACCCAGCATTTCAAGAATTCAATTGTTGTGAGAAAGATTTTCCTCGCAAATTTAACAAACGTGTTAAATAAATAATACCATTCATACACGTTTTGCATAGACCCAGGCTGATAATCAATAACAATTTATTGCATAATTTGAAATAAAAAAGAAAAATCAGCAAAAACATGTATTAATTAAACATTGCGTTCTCATCGCAGATATGGGCCTGCTTATAGTTTATTAAAATATCGCGATATCCAGCCACTGTTACTTGCACTCGATTACTGACACCGTGAATTCACCACTCCTTCCACAGGCAGAAAATGTGGACCCCTAGGCCTACCTCAAGGTCGATCTAATAAAATTAATTCCTAGTATCTCATAGGATTCCTGTCTGGATAAATACCAAAGTCACAAGAATGGTATGTAGCTATCCCGGGCTGAGATATTGATAACTAATATAAAGTCTGCCCAGTGCGTGATGAAAAATCACTACCCAGGTGATATTTAAGGGCGTTATAATAGGCCTACGGTAGCCTCAGTGTTTGAAAACCCCTCCGATGTCCACCAACGGACATCCTTCTTATTAATAAATAAGAATTTTAGACTTATATAGAGCTTCATATCAACAACGAATGAGAAATATAATCACACTACTTACTAACTGTCAACATGTCAGCAAATATATTATTACACAAATATTGATTTAGAATACAGTCTACGGTACACTGTCAAACTACACATCACACAGCAAAAATAAATTTTTAAATAATATCGTATTCAGTGTTTTATCGTGAGATACTGAAAGAGGCCAAAATATAAATCTCAAACATAGCGTCAATAGTGAATCAAGTCTGCATCTATGTCAGACCACCATCGACTAATGCATAATCTCGACTAATGGCTTGGCTATAAACGTCTGTAAAACATCGGATGTTAAAGTGTTTTATTCATTGATTTGACAATAATAAATTAATGTCATGTATTAGCGCAGCAATAAACTGAGAATGTCAAAATAGAAATATATGGGTTCACTAATTTAATTTCATCTTGTTTTTAAAATGTTGTTATTTGTAACTGTGGGCCTATTGTTAGGAATCGCGATACTTTGACAGCCAGTGAAGTAACGAGGATTTATTAACAATCCCGTTTGTAAAATTATTGCTGTTAGTCAAATAAATGGAGGAAAATCACAAAATTAAAGGTAGGGTAAAAGTATTTAAGTTCTATTTTTTCTGTTGAAAAAATAATGCTTATTTGAATATAAAGTACGCAATTTATTTGAATGTTGTCTATTACGTGCTTTACTTCTTTACACACCCATTGTCTGGTTTTCAATTTTCGTAATCGTAGGTTTAGATACCAAGCAGATAGAGTAATTCCAATATTCATGATAGGCCTATAGTTATTTCCTCCATAGAAGAACAATAAACAAGGCACAGGAGGTGAGAAAATCCAAGAATATAGACTCAGAATGTGTGTATAATGATCCATCCATGGCGTTGAAAAACATTGGACGAATGAGAGAGTGTATTGTCGTGACGTCATCGCCTAAACAAAAAAGTTACACCGGAACCGGAACAGGAAACGGAACCTGAACCTCCTCCTCTCTCTCTGTTAACAGATGTAGGGACTACTTAGACATGTTTGTACGGTGATTGGAAGAAAAACGAAATAAAAACAAGTATTAATAATTAAAACATAGGCCTACAAGAGGTTGGTAACGTATATCAATGTTTAATTAAAATATCAACTTGATAGTACAGTGTAGGCCAAGGCTAGGCCCTACTGAGACTTGTCTCCACACCACCAGGCAGGCACTCATCAACATCGTGAATGAGAATGAGATACTATCTCACAGGGTTACAAGAGTGGGCCTCTGTTGACAAAAAAGTAAGCTTAGCCTAAGGCCCAAAATGTCCTTTTAGGCCCTTAGCTGGTAACTTTTTAACAGCTAGTTATATGTGCCTAGCCTAAATTTAGCATAAATACATATCTAGAGGCTGCCTAGCCTACATTTAGCATAAATTTAATAGTAATAATACATATCTAGAGCCTGTTGAATCCTGTCAAATTATATCGATGTAGGCCTAGGAAGGCCTATTAGATTGTAAGATTTTAATAATTGATCTTATCCTTGATTTTAGTTATCACGTCCATAATTAATAATTTGTAAAAAATAAAAATAAAATAATAAAATAGATGAGGCTGAATACTGTGAAAGTAGCCTGAATAGCAAGTTTTAAAATTATTTTTATTTTAAACATAAATCTAGTAAAATATAGGCCTGAGGCCATCACGTGATAAAGACGTATATTTCATGAAACTAGGCCTACTGTATGTGCATGGAAGCATCATTTATCAAATTAAGTGATTTAACAAACTCACATATAGATTGTGGTTTAAAGTTGAAATCAAAGTAAATGAGAGATGTCCAAGAGGGAAGAATGGGGATGTTTTATAGGGTTATGTTGACATATTTTACAGGACAGCCTACAAAATTATTACTAAAATGTTAGGCCTACTGTAGTCTTTTTATTAATAACCAATATTAAAACTTATAATTTTCTACAACTATCATACTTTTAACTACTAAATTTAAAACTTGCAGTAGACCAGTAACAACAGTCATGGCCTCTCACAGACTAAAGCCAGGGGCCCAAACATTACTCAAACAAGGACTCAGAGATATTCATTAGCAAATCTGTATGACATCGACTGATGAGAGAGCGTTGTGTACAGCAGTTGCAATTCTAACAAAACCTTGAGATCAGGGCTTTGAACCAGTGGTGTATTAAGGAGTCTTAAAATCCAGGGGTGGGAGAGGGATTAGGAGGGGACTGGTGGGGTCACAAAGGTGAAGTGGGGAGCTCGATGATTAGGTGATTGAAGCTAGCCCGCTAAATAAGGTGATCACTTGAACGTGATTTTTTTTTTTTGGGGGGGGGGGTTTACTGTGAGGCACAATTATTTTTTGGGGATTACGCCCTTGTGCACCCTCTAGATACGCCACTGCTTTGAACACCTTTAAATGACACTTTATCTCTGGTTGTCTAAAATTTATGGTCTCTGTAATGTACAGAAAGGCATATTTCAACTACACATTCTCAATATATGCACAAAAAAATTTATGTCCTTCACAAAGGCACCTTATCCACTGTTCTCACTTTCCACCAAAAATTATTAGTCAAAACCTGGACAGTTTGAGTGCCAGTGCTTTGAATAATAGCTGCAACATCACAAAATATTCCTCAGGGATCTGATTATTTTTTTCCATAGGTGTCAAATTGAATGACCAAGCTAATAACGTTAAACATACAGGCCTTGGTTATAAATATTTTATTTAATTTAATTGGTCATTTGTTAACTGTTATTTCTTATATAAAATTATGAAATATGTATATTTTCCCCTATCAATGCCTAGGAAAAGATGAATATTGTATCGAATGTTAGCACCTATTTTGGCTCCAAACTTAATGGCCTCCTAAATCAAAATTATAGGGGTACCAACGTGTAATATAAATAAATTTAAATAAAATTGAGTTAATGGAAAGAAGAATGTATCTAGCCAACAGCACACTAGGAATAATTATATGAAAAATTGTTTGTGCCTTTTAGTGCAATTTCATTTAGAAAAAATTTTAAAATGGTAAAAAACTGCTTCTACATCAGTGGACCTGTACTGTATTCTTGGGTATTTTAATTTTTATGCAGATAGACCTCATCGTAAAATGTGACATGCAGGGAGAGATGTACAGAATATTAACAACATTGAGAAATTAAATAACATTTTGCTAGCAATTGAGGAATATCAAGGTTTTGAAAAAATGAGGAATAGTAAAGGGGTGGTTTTCCCCCCAAATAATTTTAATGGTAAGAAATCTCGTTTTAGGCTATGGGTAGAGTTCGGTTGATTTTTTCATTTTTATAAAGTTTGCTTGAGGCTTATGAAGTTTGGGTTGATCCAATCAAATTTCAACAAGCTAAGGTTTCCTACTTATAGGCATTTTCCTTTTCTCTCAATCGTTATTTTGTCTTTCTGAGAATAGCCTAAAAATAAGGGGTTTAGGTTAAGAATTAATTGATACATCTCTACTACACAAGTTTAATGTTTGCTTTTCAGATACACAACTGATATACAGAAAATGTTAGCAGTACTATCAGCAGAGAGGCTCTATTTACAGCGGCTCTATTTACAGCAGATTCCGTGGCCCCATTTTAGTATGGATGCGCACTTATTACCTTATGCACCATGTCGAATCCCGATCATAGTTGATTAGGTCTGAAATGTAATTTACGGTAAGTGATGTTGAATTCGTTTTAGGATTTTCATTGGAATAAATTACATTTAATAATTCATAGCGGCTTAAACATTTCAATCATAACTATGAATATTACCGTATATAAAACATTCCCAATTTTGTGTTCAAGGCCCTAACAATTCTGAATTGAGAAAGGAGCTAAAGCTTTGTAGTCTAACAAGACAGACTAACAAGGCACTCGCCTGCGTGGCTGAATTGCCAGTATTGTAATTGAATTTTTTTTTTTTTTAGCTCTTAAAAAGTTTTTGAAAATCATGTTTTATATTTGTGTTTTCACTCTTAGTCTCTGTTGTTCCTTTGTGATACTCTGCATGCGCCATCACCTGGGTTTTACGTTGCATTCTTTTTATGGCTTTAAATAATGAATGATTTGAGTGAGCGTTCTATACTGTAAGTTACTGAACATGGCAAACTCTGCATTGCTAAACAAAAACTTTCAAAAGCAAAGCTGAAGACTCGGGCGTATCCAGGCCGTTAAGAAAGAGGTGGGGGCGTGAATGTCCTAACCAAGTGAGAGTGTCAGGGAAAAGCCCCTGATAGGGGTGCAAGGAGGTGAACCCCCTTACCTCTAGCACCTTCATTTGTGTTTGACTGATTTTTACAATTTAGCTTGGTAGCGTTTTGATATAAAACTTGGGTTTTCTTTACACAAACTATGGGGGAGCATGCCCCCCCCCACCTTTTGAATCAGCCACTATACACATGTGGGAAATATGAACAAAGGAACTAGATTGTCATCTATAAAAATAATGAAAATTTGAGTTGAAGAAAAGCTCATTAAATTGAAGAATGTGACCAGACTCCCTTCCGCCTCTTTTACAGAATCCAGAATCCAGAATCCAGAATTCCAATTTTGAAATGAAAAATAGGCTAAGTAATGGATTTAGAGATTGCTTGGGAAACTAGACCCGAAAGACTACAGTAAACTGGAAATTCTTTTAGTCTGTAATGAGGCAACGCAATCACTTCTTCATCATGATCCAATTTTTAATATGTTTGTTTGTACAACAAAACAGACTTACAAGTCAGTGAACCTCTTAACTAACTGCCTTGCTTGTTATTGCCTTTTGTGTATAATGTGAATGTTTTGTTTTCAAGAGCATAACAACTGTCACATTTGTACTTTCACTCTTGTATAAATTTACCATAGGTGGGTGTAACCATGATGGGATACGGTGCGCAGATCAAAGACGCCAGTATGGATTTTTTGGTGATACAGGCTTGGGCTGGGGTTGTAGGTCTACCCTTTTATGCATTATGACTGTATCCTGTATGATGTAAGAAAGATGAGTTATTAAAGACAACGCATTCAGAAAGAAGTCTCTAGGCCACAGAGGCCTATCATTACGACAATATTTTGCTAGCAGTGCAATTTTATTCCCTGAATTCGACCTCAAGGTAGCTTCCTCTCATGGGCTAATGGTACACTGTGGGTGATCAGTCAAGCGCGTAACGGCTTTGAAACAGTTCATTTGTAATTTAGGGGGTTCCACAACTACAAATTAAACGCCGTAACATTTTCATATGGACTTTCAATTTTTATTCTAAACAACATACATAATTATCTAAATACCATTCACAGTTTTATTTTTACCCTCAAAAGAAGACATATTCTACCCTGCTTTACAGTCTTCACCACTCACATGTACGTAGTCATGTACACATAAGAAAATGGAATCGACCATCTCAAACCAGTGAACCGCTCGAAAAAATGGGGTGTTTTACAAAAACTGACATTCATATACTGCTGGTACTAAAAATCTATACGTTTTTACTGCATATGATTTACATCATTTGAATCTCTATCCTTTTCTTTTGCCAATGATCATAATTTTAGTGTTTAAAAATAAGGATAATTTAGTCATTTTATCTGTTTTTCCAGAGTATATTTCAAGTTCTGCATCCACGTGAGCGTCAGACTGCCATATGCTTGTAATGCTTAAGCATATGGTGAGGAGTTTTGGATGATTTTCATAAATCTGATTGGTCCGATAAAACTGCTCAACCGATCAATCTTATATTTAGAATACATTTAGAAGACAAAAAGGGCTTTCGAACGGACTTTTCCCAAAAGAAATCGGCCCACAACTTTCGACTGTAGAGGGATTTATGTTAAAGACAGCTGGGATATTTCGGCAGATTTCACTGTTTTTACGCTGAAAAAATACACGAGTGGGTTTGATAAAAATCAAAAGTCCGATAAAGGTGTTAACATTACACTTATAAATTTGTAATTGTTGTAATGATTATTAAATTCCGTACAGGTAGTCCAACTGGGTGTGCTACAATTCCTGATGGTCTGCCAAGTCTCAGCCAGGGTCCAGGGCCCACAGAATCCTATGAGTGACAGTTGTGTATCCCAATAAAGACAAACTTGTGAGGTCCAGAGTACAGAAAACCTAGGCAATTTGGACATTTTTATGCTGTTTTATTTTGCTAAGGTTTATTATTCTCAATTATGGAATTCATTTTTTTTTTGGACCATTGATTCATGGCTAAAGAGATTTATGGTCCTGTCTCCCTCTTCCTATTCCAAGTTCCCTTCAATAAATCTAAATCTGATACTTTATTATTATCTAGTTTGTATTGCAATCAGAATCAGCAAGATTCTTTCACCCACTTTTCTGAAAGCATTGTTGTAAGAGAATTTACACCTCCATTGTATATATTTTGCCACCTGTCTCTGCTGTTAGCCTCTCGTTTGCCCAAGCTGTTTCTATATGCTGATGTCATTGTACCCACCTTTTCTTTTGTTTACATCAGTTCCCCTTCTCTGTCCATGACCACTATTCTGTTAGGTTCTTTGTCCAGCTGTTTTCCTGTAAACATGCCCTGTCAAACTTAATTTTTTTTAGGATGTGTTAATGTCCCTGAATTCTGTGATGAATAAACAATTATGATTTTATCGTTTGACATTTTTGACTAAATGTAATTTTCTTAGGCCTAATTTACCGATAGTGTCAGCTCTGTTTGACTTCCTTTCAACTAATTTCTGCCCTTTTTATCACCGAGACTAATATACGTCAAGTAGGATGGAATATACAGAGAATAATAGAATATAGAACAGGTAAAAAAACCAAGACATTTTACAAATTCAAATGGTTTGCAAAGAACATTAACACAAAAATGGTTTCCATTTGTAAATCATTGAATGGTTTTTATGAAGCAATAAGCATACAGTATCTTGCCTCGTCAATCTCCATAATTCAAACTTATCCAAGTTTTGCTTCTAAATTTAATATGAATGCAAGTTTCCCTTAGAGCTAAAAAGGAGCTCTTAAAATGTAAGTACTCAACATCACATGTTCACACGTTCATACGTTTAAATGGCCAGCGGTCATATGTAGATATAAATTTACCTGCCAACATCACAGCCAATCATAGAATAGATAAGTCAGGATATTAAAATTTTAACAAGCATAAGAATGAATGCATTTCTCAAAACTATAGCTCTGAAAACCAATCTTCATTCTTACCCGTTTGTCTGACAGTCATTTTTTTTTTCGTGCTAAAGGGTTATTGTGCAAATGAGGTAATGGTAAATATTGGACTGCGATGCAAAGCTTATATGTCATTTTAGTGTTTTTTGCAACTAGCAAAACAAATTTCATTGTTCACTTCATTGGTCAGTGACAATAAAGTATTCTTGATTGTTGATTCTGTTTGATATGTAAGTCTTCCTAGATTGCACAATTTAAGTAACTGGCTAGTTGCAACTGTCAGTCAGTTTACACACTGTTTATCACATAATATATTTTTCATTTGGTATATAAATGTGACTGTTCCAGGATTAACTGCAATCTTTAAAAGTCTGACTCTCCCTTTAATCCAATTTGAATTGGACTGCTTTAGGAACTAGTACTTAATATTACACATTAAATGCTCACTAAATTTAGCAACATTTAATTGAGCCATTAAACAAAATCTGTTGACATTGATTGACAACAATTTGTGATGACAAATGACATGCATTTTTTATTTGATTGTTTACATGCTGTAGATATTTATTGACATTTTCTACAGGGCAAGAAAGCAACAGAGTGACACATAAAATGTAAAAGAGAAGGAGTATAGACAAAGCAAAGTTAGAAAAGTCCCATAAAAAAAGAGTGGTACAGGAAGTCAAGAGGATATGAAAAGAACTGATGAAGATAAGCGGCAGGCCTGGTTACACATTATTTTATTTCTTTTTAGCACAGATCTGAGCATGTTTTTATATTTCATAGACTTACTATATAGAGCCAGCTGCATGACTCTCCAACCAAGGACTGATCCTATCAAGGAGGCAACAGTGGCGGCGTCAGCGGGGGGCAGGGGACTTAATCCCCCATCGGTCTGGCCAAGCCCTGCCTTCGAACAAAGCTTGTCAGGCAGTTGGACTAAAAGAAAATTAAAAAATAGCCCTAGTTTTCCCATCCTCAGCCATTTCCAGCCATCTAGAAATCCCAATTTTTTTTTTTAAATCTTGTTTTGAGAGGAGGGTACACCCAGACAATGCTGCACGCTATAGTTACACCCATAAATACTTAGCCCCCCAAGTCGGACACCTTAGTCCCCCCCCCCCCATAAATTATATCCTAGAGCCGCCACTGGGAGGCAAAAGAGAAGCTTTCTAGAATACTGTACACTCAACTGGTAAATTACCATCTGCAATAGCACCCTCTATCAACAACTGATTAAAATACTTTTTCTAATCTTGGGTCTCCTGTTGCTACTGGAGAACTCCCGGGCAGATGGCATTGCAATTATATTGCATTCAGTGGCGTACCTAGGGGGTGCGCGGGGGTTGCACCCCCTCTCCCCCTCCAAAAAATACTTTCCCCTCCCCAGTTACCTCCAAAAATCACGCTCAAGTAGTCAAATCACCTAAAGTTGCCTATTTTGCGAGCTAGCACCCCTCACCTAATCATCGAGGCCCCCCCATGTGAACTTAGCGCCCCTCACCTAATCATCGAGGGCCCCCCATGTGAACTTAGCACCCCTCACCTAATCATCGAGGCCCCCCCCCCATGTGAACTTCGCTCTCCTCATTAGCTCCCCCAACCTCCATTTCAAAACTCCTAGATACACCACTGCAGTAATTTTTAACTTGCTAATAGCCTCACCACTAAACTTTGAGTAATCCTGAGGTGGTTAATATGTATTTATTTGTGAAGTGTCATTGTTTTGTGTTGTATTGTAGACATAAAATAGACTGGCCCTGCTTTAATGTATGGTACTCTCAACATAACACATGGATACACAGTGGATCAAATAACCATCAAATAACCATCTTAATAAAGATATTCAGTAGCCATTGGCATGATGTATAAATATAAAATGAAAATCCTCATTATATTCTTATGCAGTGCTTATCCAAATACTAACTGATTAGTTCTGATCTAATGTCATTTGTATTTGGCCTATTGGATTGAATTGGGTTGGATTGGATTTATTCGATGTAAACACCAAGAATAGCCAACGGAAGTCTAGAAGAAGACTTATTTCCAGTGGAGTCCTTCTGGTGGTGATTGGGCAGTACACCGGGAGACAATCCCCTACTCTTTTCCGAAGAGTGTACTGTGTTCTTTAACGTGCACATGGGCCATAAATGCACATGGGCCATAAATGCACACGGGACCAACGTCTTAAACGTCTCATCCGAAAGACGGTGGCGCTATTGTAACTTGTATTTCAGTCCTCCAGCTGAAACACAAGGAGAGGCAGCGATGGGAATTGAACCGGGGACCTAGAGATCTCCATGGTTCAGCGCACACACAGCGACTATCACCAGATTAGCCGACTGAGCTAAGCTGCTCTCTTACCGAGCTAAGCTGTTCTCATGGTTTGTTATCAAATTTTGTATGTGATTTGAACTAATAACAATTGATATATTTATTACTGGGACTGATGTTGCTAAAACAATAATCATAGTGCTTTCAACGTGGTATGCCCTTAGAAACATGAGGTAAGGCTTTAAAATATAATAAGTTTTGGATCTTTAGGTCTAACATGTGGTATCACTACAGAAGTAATATCCAATATATTGTTTTTTTAGTGTGTGAACATCTATGGCATTTCTTTCCAGTTAAGAATTAAAATTTTGGCAAAAGCATATTAAGTAGTGTGGAGCCTTGTAAAAATTTATTAAAAACACAGGCTACATCTGATGAAGCAATTAATAATTTTAATACATTTGTTCTTATTATCAAAATGAATTTTTAGTTAAATGCTAAATGTTAAAATATACAAAGTCAGTTTATTAGTTGGCATTTAAAGTGAACTCAAACAACACAAGAA